TGGACATAATTTCCGCATATTCATTAAATGATAATTTTACTTACATTTTTGTGAAAATTTAGGACACATGCAGTGAATGTGTTTATATCTGAAAAAAATCGTGAACTAAATATTGTGTTATAGACTATAATTATGGATTTATAGAGACATTAGGACCTCTTTATTTGCCTAAATAATATGTAAACTAAATAACATAAAAACGGATTTAATAATTCACGATGCGGTAGTTAAATTCCACTTAATTATTTGAATAAATCACGAGTAGTTTCATTGATATTTAACGCTAACGAATGTTTAATTCCATATCTCTTGTACTCGTTTTCACACCTATGAGAAGTCGCAGTAAGAACAACGATGTTCGATATATGGATGGTCTATTGTTTGTTGCAAATATACTTGGTCTATGTCCAAAGTATGATTCGAGGAAGAACAGATTCGTGGCCAATTGGAATCACATTCTTTTCAACTCTTTCTTCAGCCTATTTATAATAGCAGCGTTCATCTTTACGATGATAATCAAAGCCAAATACCAATTTCCCAGGTTTACATTCAGCGTCATATTGACTCGAGTAATATCCGAAGTCGTAACAGTCATCACTCTCTTGGTATGTTTATACTCTGGATCCTTCAGGAATCTGCGATTATGGAACAAACTATGGCACAATTTGAAAATCCTGGACAGGTATTTGAATAATTCTTTCTCGAGGAAATTGTATTGGACTTACTACATCCAAAACATTGTGGTGTTTGTATACACATGTTTGACACTAGCTTATGGTATTTTCATAATGGTAAAATTGCATGCCGCCTTCCAGTCCTTACATTTTTTTGTATCCACCGAAATATCCATCTGGCCTCTCCTTGGCTTCAACTTCATCAGCTGCTTAACATACAGATTCCAAACTTTTCACAAAGTTTTGGATACGAGTCAGAAAATTGATTATAAGTACGTTCAGATTGTTTACGGAAGATTGAGTGAATCTTTGGTTGTGATGAATCAGTTATTCGGGTGGCCCATATTTATGATTATTACCAATATTACTTTCCTATGCTTCATTTCCATCATCCAGTATTTTCCAACGACAACAAAGCCTGCTACGAAAACGAATGAAAATGTTGATATCCATGCATATATTTCTGCAGTTATTTATTCTGCCATCAACATCATGATTCCTATGTTGGTAAGTTCAATTATACAACTATAATGTATAGAATATTTAGTATAAATTCTTTTTTCAGATGCAAATATCAATTTTGATTAAGATTTGTAACGGCGCTGCAGTAGAATTCAACAAAACCAGCTTCAAAATATGCAAGTTCATAATAAGTTCTCAGGCTAGAGGAGTCGAATTACAAGATATTAAGGATTTATTTTCTGTTATGGAGATGGGACGGAATAAACTACAATTTTCTGCAGCAGGATTCTTCGCAGTTGATCACAAACTGGTGTTTTCTTTTATTTCCCTACTTATTACATTTACTATACTATTTTGGACATGATACTAAAATTTATAATGTTACTTTAAATACTATTTCTAGTAACAATCATAGCATTAGATGCGTATATCCTCTGATTTGTTCATACTTGTTTTTAACGTTAGTAGAATAAAATAAATTCTAGATTTATATAATTTGTATTGATTTGTAAAAAACTGAAGAAAACAATATACGAAATACATATTGATTAAGATGTAAAATGTTAAGTTGTGTTGACATATAAAAAACTATTATGGATTTTCCTTCATCTATTTTCATTTGTATACCCTGTTTTTTCGTTCTTTAATATGTTTATTCCCTTTCCATCCTAATACAGAATTTTTTCACTTTTTTCAGACACTTTAATGCATAAGTGTCTGTTTATTTTTTGTATGTATTTGGTTCGTCGATTAATCCGGTTTCAAACAGTCCGTGATATTATAGAAACAGACTACTTAGGTATATATTTCAAATGATAGTATTCACCCATCCAATTAATACCTCTAAACATATCGCTTAACTTTTGTGAGCTGTTAAATATAGTATATACTTGATGGACGTAACGCGGCATTCGTTGGAATAAATATTTGATGAAGATATAAAAAAAAAATACTACAATCGAATAGAATATTTCCCATACACAAATAATTTAGTTTTTTTTTCTGATAGAGAATTCAATACATGCTCTAATTACATATAAATATACCAAAATGTCAGTACAACATCCTCAGAATTAAATAGCATGAATTTATTATAACCAGAATACTAATACCACATATTTCCATCAACAGTCGTGACGATTACAAACGCACAAAGTACCAAAAGATGACCATTTTCTTGAAAATCACAAACTACTTTGGAATGTGTCCTACGTACAATAAATTTACGGGAAATTTTCAAACAACCACAAGAGATGGTATAATCAGTTTGTTATGGATATCATCGTTAATTGCCAGTTATAGCTATGTGTTACATTTAAAGATTCAATTAGTGTTCGTGAATTTACCATTGAATGTTATTATAACAACTGTGGGATCAGAGATAAGCACGATTATAGCAGCTGTAACGTGCATCTGTTACGGCTCTAGAATCAAGATTAACTCGTGGAAGAATCTTTGGGAAAACCTAGTACAATTGGATAATTTGCTGGTTTGCGAAGAGAAACATTTAAAGAAGTATCGAATGGAAAATGTTGTTATTATCTTAATATTTATTTTAAGTCTTGGTTATTTTATTTACGAGAAAACCATTACTGGAGATTTGTTCGTTAAGTCTGTTTTTGTTGTTATAATTTATGGTTTCTTTTTATGGGTTTTGATTTTCTACAATTTCGCTCAGAATCTAACGGATAGATTTAGACTGTTTCACGGTATTTTAGAAAAAGGTGAAATCCAATCTGGTTGTATTCAACGAGTTTATGGACTTTTGAAAGACTCTCAAGGAATTTTGAATGACATTTTTGGATTTCCAATGTTTACTGTACTTACATCTTTCTTAATCTTGTTGTTATTTTCATTCACAACAGTTTTAATTAGATCAACAGATTTAACTGTGGATAGAAATTTTTCTTATCTGAATATAATTTTAACAACTCTGGTAAGTTTCATTTAAACACGAACCACTTTAAATGTTGCAATTAAACAATTTTAATACTAATTTGGATACAACAATTAATTGTTTTAGATGTTATCCTTAATGATTTTGATGATTTGCGATGATTTAAGTGCCGAGTTCAACAAAACTCCTCACGTTTTATGTGAGCTCTTAGTGAAGTTCGAACGTCGCAATGTTAATCCTGAAGTAATAAACGGATTATTTAAAGTTTTGAAGTTCAGTCAAGAAAAACTGGAATTCTCAGCAGGAGGTTTTTTCGAGGTGAACAATCAATGATTTTACCACTCATCATTGTTACTACAACCTTCATGGTAATGATTCAGCAATGGAATACGACGATATCATTAGAACACGACACGTCAACTTTAGAATCACGCAATTAAATTGAATTTTCATGTTATTTTTCAATCAGTATTCAGTTAGATTTGTTTGGAGGTAGTAAACACAGCAAAGTGAACAACGTTGAATACTTTGTGGGTCTCTTAAATTTAGGATACTTTATCAGATTATGTCCGAAATATGGAAACAGCATTGACAATTTCATCACAAGCGGATTAAGTGTTGCAATAAGAGTTTTTTGCTTTATAGAAGTGAGTTTAAGTTACTTAATCGTATTGTTTAAAATGTTTATAACTGTATATTCGAAAAGATATATAGATGTGCTTGTTGTCTCTATATCCACTGAAGTTATAAGTATCATTGCAATACTAATTTGCATTTACAATAGTTCCCAAATAAACGTGTATAGGTGAAAGAAGATGTGGTTCAATTTAAAGCATCGTTACTTAAATCATTCTTTTTCCAAGTCGTTTTATTTAATAATCAATATATATTTGAACGATCGAGATTTTAATATAGAATTTGGTCTTTTACATTTCACCAGTAGCCTTGAAGTCAGATTCAATATTTTCCACAGATTACTGATTAGTAACAATCACATCACTCAAAATGGTGGAAAAAGTTTCTCGAAAATATATGGATATATGAAACATATTCCACAATATACAGGATTATTGGATGTTCTATTTTTATGATTATATTGGATTTGATGATGCTGATTTTCTTTAAGCAATTTTTGACCAGCAAAGATATAAACATTTTGAGTTATTAGGTTGATGAACGTTATTTTAACTACTGCTGTAAGTGATCTTCTTTTAACTATTTAAGAATAAAAAATTGGATATGTTTTTTTTTGCAGCTTCAATTGGGTATTATTATGTTTGCTTCCAGTACAGCACACAGAGAATTAAATATGTAAGTTGATGGTAAAGATACAATCTAAAGGAAATCATGATTATCACATAAAAATACTATACCCGATCTTGACTTTGAGCAGAACCAGGTTGGAATTGTCAGCTGGCGGTTTCTTCCTAGTGGACCAATCTTTGCTTTTCCCCGTGATTACAACTATAACATCATTCACAATATTATTTATACAATGGAACAATAAAGTATTAAATTAATTTATTCAACAAACTACAATTTACGTTGTAGTTTTCTTTGATTATAAAAGTATTAGTTGTTAACGTGTTGTATAAAAATAAGCTTACATTGAAAGTTACTTTATATTATAGCGTTTTACTATCCTGATTACATATTATTCCCTGTTCACACGTAAACGTGTACCATTAGATTGGAACGTTTTTGTGTAAATGGTAATGCGTTCGCGTTGGACTAAGAACAATAGACGATGCAAACAGAACGACATCAAATATTTAGTGTCGCTTTTGCATTTTGGAAGTATTTTTGGTCTGAATCCAAATTACAGCTCGATAAGTGAAAATTTCTCTATAAAAACAAGGAATAAATTTCTGAGTTTATTATGGATTATTCTTCTCTGCGCTTTATATCTTTACACTATACTTATGAAGATTCTACTGGCGTTCCATACAAGAAGGCCGAAAGTAGTAATGGGTATTAGGATAACGGCTGAAGTGATTACCATCGCGACTGGTATAGTATGCATCTATTCAGGATCATTGAGGCATCTCAAAGATTGGAAGAAACTGTGGATCAACATGAATAATTTGGATGTGTATTTATTCAACGTGTACGAAACTCGATCGAAGTGGATTTATCGTATCCAAATCACTGCGACTGCAATATTTATAGGTTTAAACTGGTTATATTTCGCATACGATACTGTTTCTGAAAATAAGAGTATTCTAATTGACATTCTTTATCCAACGATAGAATTCTTGAAATTCATTTGGTTGTTGATCTTCTATAATTTCATCAGCTGCTTGCAGGCGAGATTCCAGACTTTCCATAAATTGATGGAAAGAGATAGCTTGAACACGTTGGGTTTAATCGATTGTAAATCCATTGAGACGATTTACTTGCATTTAGTAGAATCGTTCCGGATAGTAAACAGGATTTTTGGGATACCAATATTCATGATCACAACTAGTACTATGGTGCTTTTCCTCTTCGTCATTTCCATTGTGCTGCAAGGGTTGAAAGGAAACATATTTTCAATATTGTTCGCAATGCTAAACCTGATAGCTTCTGCTAATGTAAGTTTATAGTTTGATAATACAGAAATATTCCGTATAATGCGGATTCCATCACTGCGTATTCACTATGTACATTTCAAATCAAACTAGCACAATAAAAATAATTTCTAAAAAATTATTACACTCTTTTTTTACAATAAATACCTCGATTAGCCCGGTTTCAAACATTGCAGGACATGAGTGAAACCGATTATACGCACTATTGCTGTATTATCTTAACTATCCCTTCATGGCTCATTGAGCTCTGACCAAAGTGTATTATCTTAACCAATATTTTTGTTTTAGATACAACTTAGCGTTGTGATAATTGCGTGTGCAGCTGCAACTATGGAAATGAATAAGTCTTCTTATGTGATCTGCAAGTTGATGGTTAAGCTTCAATCGAAAGGTGTTCATATGGATGTGATCAAAGAATTGTATCCGGTTTTGAATGCAAGCAGAACGAACTTTCGATTCACAGCCGCAGGATTTTTCGTTGTTGGCAACTCGTTGATTTTTGGTTTAATAACATTAGCTACTTCATTTACCATTATTATTATACAAATTCAATCTTATAGTTAAATACTTTTGTTATATTTGTTGTATACATTTCTATGCATTAAATCATGCAATTATTGTATCCAAAATACGTTCAAATTTGTAATTTATTTTTATCTAATTATTGATAACAAAATATTGATACTATTTTATTATTAGAAGAGAATCAAAAATGTTTATAAAAACAATTAATATTATATATTAATTATATAATATTTTCTTTTTAATCACTGCTAAGCACTATTAACAATTTCTTTCTAATGAAATGTTCTCCTCTTTTCGTAATTTGTGTTAATCATGTTGTAATAATCGATTGATTTATAGGGGTTTTCCCGTTCATCATTAAGATTGACTCCTGAACTAAACACATGACTTACTTAACTAAATATATCAATTATCCTATAAATTGTTAGATAATTTTAGATTAATAGAAGAGATCGTTTTTTCCATAAAAAGAGCAACATGCGGAACCGTCTCCTGATTTAATTTAACCTACCTTAATTTATAGTTTACATATACAAATGTTTTATAAAGTTGCATGCAGTAAAGCAATTCTATGTACAATTTTTTTATTATTATACCGATAATAATGTTACATAATTTTTAATATGTTTTTGCAGTTTGAATCATTAATTGCTTCATTGCATAATTGATGAGCTTTGATACACAGGTAGTTCAGTCCTTACAAAATAGTCAACAAAACAAACATGTTCTGTAATCCTATACCTTTTAACAAATTACTATTTACTTTCGGAAAATGCACAGGAATCGTGCCTTTCGGAAGATCGGGATTTACTTCTGTTCTCAACAAGATCCATAAACTGATATGCGGTTCCATAGTTATATATTACTTTTACGTAGCAATTACCACGAAAATGAAACTTTTGCAACCACCGATGTCCGTACTCCTGCAAACATTAACGCTAATCGTTGCGATCTTTTTCAACGAATGTTGTATTTTCAAAGCTTTGAGAGCAAATATTTACGATGATCTCTTCGATAAGATGAAAGAAATCGATCGTTTAATACGAAAAACTTACAAGAAAGGAAACACATTTTATACTATTTGGTTGGTCAGTCTGTACTTCATTGTGATTAAAGTGCTTACAAGATTGTTAGTGCTGCGGTATTTTAGAATCGAATTTGAATACTTTTCGTTTCAGGATTTCTTGAATTTTAATGTACTCTTAATAACTTTCATTATATTCGTGTTCATGCAGTCCGTGTATTATAGATGCCTGCTGTTGAAAGAAATGTTGGTAAATCTAAGGTGCATACAGCAATCGCGATTAGTTTTTGTTGAAAGTTACTTATTGAATATTTCCACGTGTTTCAATGTTTATGTTCTTCTAATAGAATTTATGAATATGTTTAACAAAAAGTTTGGATCAACCATGGTCCTTATATATACTTATACTATAGTTTACAGCTTGAACAGCATCAACACTGTATTTTGTTTTTACCTAAATGATAATCATATCTTCAAAAATAATGTTCTTATGTTAACCATGCTGATGTTTATTTCTACCTTTCAATTTATTTTTACTTTGGTACGTATTGAATTAGTCCTTTAATATTTTTTTAGACTTAGATTGTCACGCTTTTATTAACTTTAATGCATATAGAAGTTTGAATTAATATTTATATTTTTCTAGATACAATTTGTGATGATTGTTAACTCATTGCACCTGATTAATTTAGAGATCAAGAAAATGTTGGTTTTACTACAGTCCATGACTCTCTATGTAATGAGTAATCAAAGGATGAAGGAATTAAAAGAACTCCAACTTGTAGTTGCCTACAAGCCTCTAAGATGGTTTGCAGCTGGAACTATTGATATTAACAGAGACTTACTTTTCAATGTTTTTGGAATTTTGATTTCATACACAATAGTTATTATAGTTGTTCAAGATAAATAATTAGTATTTTTGTTGAAACTTGCGTTTGAATTTGAATTTGAAATAAATAATCTTAATTTGCCATTGAAGCAATATAATACAGATTGTCTTTTCCTTGCTTTCAATTTCCTGTCAAAAAAAAATTTGTAAATTAAGAAATGTAATTGTAATTTAATGAAATTAAATTTGGCTAGCAGTTTTATTCTTGCTAAAATGATCAAAAGGAGCATGGGAAAGATTTTTTCTCTGCCTATGACATCAGCTGTTTCATGCACTTTCACTTGTCGATCATATTATATCATGGAGTTTTTAATGTTTTCTGATGATGTTGCTGTTTTTAGAGGCCATTAGGTGGATCATCTTCAACACTTGTAAATCAACGTTTAAATTCTAAAGTCAATCTTATGTGATATTAAAATAACGGAGAAATTTTCAATTTATTACTTGATTATATGTGTGCATTTGTAAAAATTAAACTTAATTGAATTATTTTGTAGTGTCCAACCACTAAATTTGTGTAAGAATATTACTCATACTTTCATCTCAGAACCAAAATGCAGTATTGGTAGAATTCGTAGAGCTGTGACCTGAAGCAGAGCTTATTAGCAAAAACGTGCCTTACTCCTCAAACTTCCACTCCTTTGCTTAGTTAATTTTATACGTAGAATAAGTATTTGTAATTAGTCTTAGGAAGATCGTTAAAGAAACAACAACAGGCTTTTAGTCTATGGTTGAGGAAAGAAATTCAATGAAGCAAACACTTTAAAGAATATTCTAAATTATTAAAATACACGTAAAACTACAAGTAAAACACGTTGGATTCATTAATTACCAAACCTAAGGCTCCACAACAGACAACAGAAGAAAATATCCTATAGTGTCCAGAAATCCATCCCTGTGACACGACAATTTACTAATTATTAATTTAATTAAGTGCATATAACAAAATAATACTACTGACACGCAGACATATATTTCGGGAATTTTTGCTTATATACATGATTAATATATGATTGCATGATTTGTTTTTTTATGTTTTTGTAGATTTCATTATTGATTTCCTCGTTGCATAATTGATATCATGAGATACAAAAGATAATTGTTTTCAGCTATTACGAAATAGTTGACAAAACAAAGATGTTCTGTAATCCTATACCCTATAACAATTTTTTATTTAATTTGGGGCGATGCGCAGGGATCGTGCCCTTCGGAAGATCGGGATGCTCCTCGGCACTTAACAAGATACATAAAGTGATTTGCGGTTCCATCATTATATATTTCAGTTACGTGTCAATTATGAGGAAAATAGAAGTTGTGCAATCAGCAATGACTGTAATCCTGCAAACATTAGCGCAATTCGCAGCAATCTCCATAAATTTTACTTGCATGACCAAAGCTCTGAATGAGAATATGTACGATGATATTTTCAATAAGATAAAAGAAATCGATCGATTGCTACGAAGAGTTTACAACAAAGGAACTACGTTTTATAGAATTTGGTTAGTTAGTGTCTACTACATTGTGATTAAAGCATTCACAAAGTATATAGTGATCCTTAGTTTTAGAGGTGAAGTGGAATATTATTTCTTGTTAGATTACGCGAATACTAATGTCCTCCTAATGACTTTCATTATTTTCGTGTTCATGGAATCTGTTTATTATAGATGCGTGCTTTTGAAAGATATGTTGGTGAATCTAAGATGCATACAGCAATCGCGATTGGTTTACGTTGAAAGTTACTTATTGAACATTCCTACGTGTACAAGCCTCTAAGATGGGTTGCAGGTGGAACTATAGATATTAGCAGAGATTTAATTTTCAACATGTTTGGTATGATAATCTCATACACTATAGTTATTATAGTTTTTAAAGAGGAATAATATTTATTTTTGTTGTATCCTGTGTTTTTACAAATTTTGTCTCTTTATAATTAAATTTATATAGACCAGAATTATGGATCGACTTAAGTGCCTACAATATTTGATTAAATTTTTGGAAAAATACATATTGTGATAGAAAGCTGGACAAATAATACCGTTAATTCATTCTTAGTATCCTAACTTCCATATAAAAGTTCTACACAAGAACTTATCTTTTACTTTTTTCTCTTCACTCGTTCCTACAAGCACATGTTGTCTTAGCTCATCCCTTCGTAAATCCTGAAATTTGCTTGGAACACCATCATATAATCATTCATTCATTAATTATTTAGTAATTATATTATTCTTAGATTTCACGGAACATCAGTGTTCCTCTGAACATAGTTTCTACTTCTTTCTTCTGTTCTAGCAAGAGTTTTATTGGAGTATAGCACTAATAATGATAAATAATTTTATATTATGTTACTATAACACAATAAGCACATAATTCCACTAATCTACTATTTATCTAGTTGATCCACTACAAAAAGTAATTAAAAAAGAACAAAATAAATACATATAATTTCAAAAAAGTTAATTGATACAAAGGGCTATTGACCATAGGTCGTTCTGCCCGGTATAAAATATATTTAATAACAAATAATTCATAAATGAAAAAAACCTATTCACCTATTCATTGTGTTCATCTTTCACATAGTCTGGTTTCGGTCAGTCTGTAACAACTATAATGATTACCAGGGCTATGCGAGGTATTGCTGTATCTACTTTCCCATTATTTTAAATTATTTAAAATCATGCACATGATAATTATCTCAAAAAATGTTTTTTATTGTAGATTATATAATTTAGTGCAGCATTGCATAATTGATGATATTAACGGATGTGTCTGCAATAAGTTGATACTTCATCCATTTATAAATTGATAGAATGGTTTGTTTTGTCCATAAATCCTGTCTGTAATTGATTTCAATTTGCTTCCTTTGCCAAATTGTATACATAATAATTTCCTATATGTGCCAAAATCGATTCTTCAATGTTTTAGTTGGTTCTTTCGTCAATTTTAATGCTATCGAAAAGAATTAACCAATCCTTTATTATATCACAATTTTTAATCAAATAGCTCATTAATTGCTAGGAGCTTGTACGTTTTACAATGATTTGCCAATTTTCTTTTCATTTTTACA